CAGTTGTCCAAAGTGGTTGTACTGGTTTGTGCTCCACTAGCAGTATATGCATGTTTTAGTTGCCCAGCATCTTTGCCAGCACTTGTTACTGTCAGTCTTTTTAATTTTAGACATTCTGGCAGATGTGTAACTCTTGTTCTTTTTTTTTTTTTTTTTCTTATTCTGTTTGTTTTTGGTTTTTGGTTTTTTTTTTTTTTTTTTGGTACCAGAGTTCAAACTCGGGACCTTGTGCTTATGAGGCAGGCAGTGGAACCACTGAGCTAAATCTCTGGGCCCCTGTAACTCTTGTTCTTAATTTGTATTTCCCTGATGACTAGTCAAGGTTGAGTGGTTACTTATAAGTCTTTCGAGTACTTTCTTTTATAAGTACCTGTTTGTCTGTCTAAAAAACAGTTTTTCTTTTCTTTGTTAAGTTACTGTATACTCTGATGTGAGTTCGGTCAGTTACCATATCACATATGTGTTTTCTTATTTTGTAGCTTTCTTTTATATTCTTTTGTTTCATCTGATGAACATCCACTTTATCAATCTTTTCCTTTATGTTTAATGCTTTATGTATTTTGAGGATAAGGAATTTTTTCGTACCTCAAGGTCATGGAGATACTATCCTGAAGGAACTTTGTTTTACTTATCATATTTTATCTGTATAATCCACTTGGCATTTTCATATGTTGTGTGTGTAAGTATCACCTGTTTTGTTTCTTTTTGAGACAGGGTCTCACTTTGTTTTTTGTTTTTTTGGGTACTGGGGAACGAACTCAGGACCTTGCGCTTGCAAGGCAGGCGCTGGAACCACTGAGCTAAATCCCCGGCCCCTCACTTTGTAAAGCCCAGGCTCATCTTGAACTTGATCCTTCTGCCTCAGCCTCCCAGAATCTGGGATTATGTGTGTGAGCCACCATGCCTGACTCCTCAGTTAGTGTCGAGCTTTCCTTGTTCTCCAAGACTCAGGTGCGCGTTCCAGGCAAATAATGGAGCCGTCAGATGCGGCTGAGCCCTGAGTGTCCTCCATGAGTTAGTGCAGTGCAGGAGGTGCTGTCTGAATGGCCTTGGGACTAAAGCTTTTCTCCCCTTAGCTTTCACGCTCTCTGTCCCTTTAATTATTTGAAAGTACAGTCTTCGGTTTCCTCACTTGCTGTTAGTTCCTTTACCCATCACAGTCTAGATCAGTGGTAGTGAGCCTGTGGCATGCTTGCTGCAGCAGGCTGTATCATTGAAGCTCTAACAGACTTGCCATCACTGGTCTAGAATCCAGCATCCCCATTTACTCAGAACAGCTGGGCAGGGCTCCAGTGATCTTCTTGCTATGAGAGAGAGTAGAAATTCCCAGCCATTTGTAGGTCTTTAAGATTCCCTTTTGTTCCTCTATTTCTGTTCTGATTTTATGATTTTGGCATACATGATTTATATAGTTTCATTTTAAATATAAGTGCCAGTAGATAGGATCGCTTCTGTTCTTTTTGCTTGCTTATTTATTTAGGTACCGGAGATCAAACTCAGGACCTTGAGCTTGTGAGGCAGGTGCAGTGCCACTGAGCTAAATTTCCCAAATTTTTTTTTTAAAGAATAGGAAAATTTATTGAGGAATAGGAATGGAGAATAAGAATAGCTCCTGAGGGCCAGAGATGTAGCTCAGTGGTTCTGCCACCTGCCTCGCCAAGTGCAAGGTCCCGAGTTTGATTCCCGGTACCTAAAAAAAAAAAAAAAGAATAGCTCCTGAGAGATAGAAGGGGTCCTGAATAGGTTGCCTGGTCTGTTTTTATTTGATATCTAAGACCAAGTAAAAATGAGAGCAGCCATAACTACTAGTTAGATAATTAGTTTTACATTGGATCACCTCATAGGATTCTCATAGTACTCTTTGAGGCAGGATAGTGTTGGAATTATAGAAGTGATTAACAGTGTAAATGGTATGTATTTTGTTCTAAGTTCTGGGGTGTCTTTTCCATGTAACCATCATTTGGTGAAAGCATCTGTGATTCTTATGTGTACTTTTGCTTTTCTTTCTTTTTTTTTTTTTTCCGAGGCAGGCGTCAGAACCACTGAGCTAAATCCCCAGCCCTTGAGCCTGTTTTTTTTTTCCTACCTTTACTCCAAAACTCGCTCGGCAGAAATTTTTTCCTGCCTTTTTAAAAAAAAATTTTACATTTATTTATTTATTTTTTTCTGCCTTTAATAAATGTAAAACTTTTGCACCATTTATGCTTGTTTCATTAAATTCTTTGTTCGGGACAGAAAGAGCTTAGAAATCACCTCAAAAAGGAGACTCCAGAGCCCAGTAATAGAGGGGCAAAAGGCAGATTAGGGCAAGGGCTTGAGTAAACTAAACTGAATAAACTGAAGGCCAAGACCTAGATAACTGAAATAAGCCCTGAGGGAAATTAGAATACAAGGAACAAAGGCCTAATTAGAGCACAGAGTGTTTTTTTTTCTTTCCAAGATCTATTTTAAAAAGACTTCACACAAGAAAAGTTGTGGACAGATGTGATTTAAAGATGTGTCTCTAGTGTCCAGGAATGGATTTTGGCTCCAGAAGAACTTTGGACTCATTTTATCTAAATAGCTGATTGTAGTTCAACAGATATATCTTGATTTATGTTATTTTTACTTCTTTGGTAGTGCCTTAATTACGTTTCTCAATGCTGAGACAAAATACCCAACACCCACAGATAAAGGAAGAAAGGTTTATTTGGGCTTATAGTTTGTAGAGGTTTCAGTCTGTAGTTAGCTTGCTTGAAGGCAGGTTAGCATGCCAGAGTGCCATCACAGAGGAGAAACAGTCCATGGCAAACAGGCAGGAGACAGCAAAGCAGCAAACAACAGCAGCCTGCCTCTCCCTTTTCTTTCTTCCAGGCTACTAGCCTTTTGGGTGGTGCCACCCACACCCAGGGTGGGCTTTCCCATTATTCACACCCAGAACTGTGTTAAACCAGTCAGTGAATTGACTTAGTGATTATGAACCCTTAACCGAAGCATTGTATAACTTAATCCCAGGATCACACACCCTAGATCCAGCCACCTCCCCAAACTTCCAGCTATGAGTGCATGAGGCTTTGGAGGGGACATTGGCAAAAACTGTAACAGGTAGTAAGTTCCTTTAACATGCGCTCCTTCCTTTGATTCTCATAAATCTTCCTAGAGCCTTTTGATTTTTAAACAGCAAATCCTTTTTTCCCCCAAAATGAAGTGGTACATCAAGCTTGATTTATAAAACAGGTCAAAACAGTCTTTGTTGATATAAATTCATTTTAGAAGTTTGGATTCATGGCATTGTCAGATAATCAGAACAAGACTGTTTTGATCAACACAAACCCTTTAAAAATTAAAAGTTTCAATCTATTTTAGTATCATTTTCCAGCTTATTTCTGGATTTGAAAAAAATTTATAGGCTTTTTTGTTGTTGATGTTGTTAATAGACAGGGTCTTTCATGGGGACCATGCTGGTCATGAACTCCTGGCCTTACTTTTTCACTGTCCTGAGTGGCTGGAACTACAAGCCTACCCCACTGTGCCTGACTTACAGATAGTGTTTAATAAAACAGAGTGGCTTGCATGGAAAGAATTTTAAAAATTAAATTGACACAAATTTGAAAGACTAATAGAGGGCCAATCTTTAACAAACAAATGTGAAATTTAGTCCTTCAAACTCAGAAGTGCTGTAACTGTTAGTCAGTAAGTCATTACTCAGCAGGTCAGTGCTGTTGTCATTGTATAGCCATCATACTAGGGCTGCAATATGAGGGGCACCTGTGCCTGGCACTGCTTAAACACGACTCGTGTAAGGCAGTGCACTTGCGCGTGCTAGTTGATATGGATGGCCTTGTGCAAGGCTGATTCAGCTTCTGTGATTGGTGCTTAAGTGCTGGTTTATCCATGGAGACGGCTATGGTTCCATAGTCTCCACATAAGTATATTACCAGTTGGTGACTTCTGATCTGTGGTAGTTTGTTTGACACACGCCTGTGATCCCAGCACTCTGGGAGACCTAGGCAGGAAGATCACAAGTTTGAGCCCAAGCGTGGGCAACTTTAGTGACTTAGCAAGACCATGTCTCCAAATTAAAAAGGGCTCGAGATGTAGCTCAGTGTGAAAGACCCTGGGTTCAATCCCTAGTTAACCTGTCTACCCTGCACCCTATCAGACAGACAGACACACACACACGCACGCTCTCTCTCACACTCACACAAGTGTGTAGTTAGCTCTCTGGGGGTAACGGAGAGGTTTTGGGGAAGGGAGGTGGGTAGGAAAAAGGAATTAAGAGAATTAAAAAATCAGGAATGCTATTGTTTTCTTGATTATGTCTGGGGTTGATCATGCCAGAGAGGATTCAGACATGGTCTGGAACACTCATCTTTTTGCAGACAGGTTGTGTGGCATTTTAACTCAAGCTCATTGCTACAGCTGTTATTCCCCTATTTTCCTGAGTGAAAAGGAAGTGGGTTGTTGGGGCTCCATATGGAAACAGGAGAGGATGAGCCTTGGGGCCCCAGCGCTCTCGTCTTGTCATGCTCAGGCTGAGCAGGCTGGTTCTCGGTGTGGATGATTTTGCTGCCCTACTCAGCCTGGCTCTCAGCTGTACCTTAATCTCTATTAGCTGCTCTTTCAAGGCCAAGAGCTGACTGTAGGGTCATTCCTAGTGTGCCCCCAGAAACTCCGGGAGCCTGTGCCACGGAATGCTCAGACACGCGGCAGTCTGTAAGGCTCCGAGAATCTCTTCCCCCCTACCACTTCAGGCACTTTCATGTCTTTCCAGAATTGAATTTTAAATTATAAATAATTGAAAACTGTGCAATAGCATGAACTCTTGAAGATACTAAAACTCTGGATTTTGAGTCAGCTAGGAAATTCCCTTTAGATTTTCTGGATTAGACCATGTATTTGAATTGAGCCAAGATATTTTGAGGAAGTAAATTGCTCTTGCTGTTGAATATGACCTTGAAGGAACAGAGGAACAATGAATTTAAGATGCATTTTATTGTTTTTTCACATTTCTTTATCAGGCATCTGAAGAAGCCTCCCTCAGGGCTTTGGAAAGTCTGATGACAGAATTTTTTCATGATTGTACGACCAATGAAAGAAAGCGTGAGATAGGTAAGTGAAATGTTGAGAGTAAAGAATCAGTTATGACATATCGGGAGGAAGGAGTTGGTAGCCGTGGCTCCTCAAGCCTGCATGCCTTCCCTTGGATTCTTGTTCCTTTTGCTCTGTTCCACTGATTGGTTGCTAGTGAGGCTTACAAATTTAGCTTCCTAATGGAATTTCTTTCCTTTGGTCAAGTGTAAGCCTTTCCCCCTTGTTTCTAATTTTTGCATCATTTTGAACTTGTGTAAGAGGCTATGACTGTTTAATATTACAAAACTAATGAAAATGTCAAAATGAACATGTTTCGGTGTGGGAAAATCTGATCTGAGTCCCCTAACTGATACTACTTTGGGGAGCTTTTAGCTTCTTTTTTTTTCCTTTTCTCCGCTGTTGTCTTTCCTGTTCCTCAAATTTTCATGAATAATGGCTTCAAGCAACAGAATTAGGTGGAACCACTTCTGGGGCCTACATTCTAGGTGCTAGGTTTTGATTTTTATATTCATTCATACAAGCAATATTAAGTAAAGCATACTATAAAATAGACAATAAATTCAGTTTCAGACCTCTGTCCTAGGGACGTATTTCACTGAGGTGCTGGAGCAGTCTGTCTCCCTTGAGTCTTCACCCCTGAACTTGAGAATGAAAGATGCTTTTTTCCATTTAAACATGCAGGCTTTTCCCTCGAGTATCTGACTACCTGTACTAATGTTATAAAGTTCTTTGCTTCTGCCTCCTTGGAGGGCCTTTCTGTGAGCTCTAGAGGCCCGTTTCTCTGTCTCCCTTAGCTTCTCTAATCATGCTGGCCAATTAAATCTCATGGTTGATTCCATGTGGCCCAAAGCTTAGTTGGGGTTCAGAATTTTCCAGGTGGTCAGGTGACCTTTGGCTGTAACCTATTTTTACCCCCACATCTTTTAAACATTCATATCTCCTGGTAGATGCTACTTCTTACCCCTTTTTAATTTTAAACTTAGTTGTTTTGGCCCCGTTCCCCACATGCCTTTGCTTTCTGAGGGAATGTACTGCATAGAACTAGGGCATTTTGCACAAGGACTCACTGACAGCAGCCAAGCCCAAGAGATGGCATCTGGGTTAGGAGACCTCTGTGCCGGCTTCTCCAGTTCTCTGATTATTCAGCTAGGGTGACCCTCTCCTTACTCTTGGAGTGACCCCCTTGTTAGTTTTATGTTACTCCAGTGTTGTATGTTTGTATACTTACAGTGAAAATATCAGCCATGACTTACGAAAGAAGGTGGAGGATCTTTACATCAGTCTACTACATTTCCGTAGTCTAATTTCTTCGAAGTCTTTTTTTTTTTTAAAGCTTATAATTGAAATGTTTTTGGCTTTTCTCTCTTTTTTTTTTTTTTGGTACCGGGGATTGAACTCGGGTCCTTGTGCTTGCGCAGCAGGCGGCAAAACCACTGAGCTAAATCCCCAGCCCGGCTTTTCTCTTAATTTTTGATTTGCAAATCAAATGTTGCTCACCTTGTGAATTCATGAAATAAAAGTAGAACCTTCTGTAACACGTCTGTATTTGAATATGATTTTAAAATAGATTTAAATAACCAGCTGCTGTAAATGTCTAATTTAAATTCCAGTTAGGGGAATCTGGAGGTTTGGTTCGATACAATGGCGTGTCTTCTTTCAGTTCTCTTTGTACCTAGGCTTTGTGACTTTGAGTATGTGGGCTAGAACCACTCTTGCTTCTTTTCCTTGTCTTAGGAGAAACTACAGGCTTTTTCTAGGGAGATGGGAAAAGAGAGGCTTTCTCTTTACAGGGCTCTGGTCACACTCCAGCAGAAGCAAGGGACGAGTGCTGTAGAGAATGACACAGCTGTCAGTGGAGAGAGACCTCAAGAGACCCTCTGGTCATTTTAACTGAGGAAATGGAAGCTCAGGAGGAAGAAGGGCTTGCTTGGGGTCATGCTCAGAGAATTAGTGGCAGAGCCTAGAATAGAGCCCAGAGAGCTTCTTCCAGCCATAGCATTCTTTCTGGTTTGACTTCACCTCTGGGATTCACAGAGACTTCTGCTTAATTGTCTGGACAGGCCATCAGCTTCCTTTCACAGAACTTTTAATGAGAGTGTCTGGTTATGTTTAGCCTACATTGTAGAGAACTAGCAGAGCAGTGATTAGAATGAGCTGCTATGTAGTTTGCTTTTCCATGGCCTTCTGAGAGTCTCCAGAGTTGTTGGCCTTTGTATTTTCACCTTTGGATTATGTTTTATGACTGGTGCTACAGGTCAAGGTGACTAAGGGGCAGCATGTCCGGAAGGATGGGAATAGGTTCTATGGGTTCTGGCTGACGCTGGCAACTGCCTAAAAAGGGAAACCATTTCTAACTGACTTGATGTGTGGGCAGGACTGCTCCTGGCTACTCTCATGATATATATAATTTAAAAATAAAACTGACCTAAATGAAGAGTTAGCCAATTTGAATTTTCTTGCATTTTTTTCCTGTTCTATATTTGTAAGGTCAGTCTTTTTTTTTTTTCTGTGCTGGGAATTGAACCCAGAGCCTTGCACATGCTACCTAGTGCTCTGTAACTTAAGACTGAGGTATGTCCCCTGCCCGTGAGGTTAGCCTTAATGTTTTGCTTTTCAGCTTCTCTAGCCATCCTTTTGTATGAATGTGTGGACAATGTAGATTTCACTGAAGATTGAGGAGCAGTGAGGAGAGATACAGCTCAAATCCAAGGACACAAATTAGTTGCCATTTTTAACAAGGTGCAGTGAAGCTGGGTTTAGTGGTACACTCCTACAATCCCACCACTCTGGGAACCCGAGGCAGGAGGATTGCAAGTTTGAGCCCAGCCTGGGCAACTGTGAAACCCTGTCTCAAAAAATGGACTGGGAGTGTAGTTCAGTGTAAAAGCCCTGGGTTCAGTCCTCAATATGGAACCAAAAAAGAAAGAGTGTGGAGTGATACTCTTACGAACTTCCATGTACACATTAAGTTAAATAAACCAGTACTTTACAGTTTCTCACCCAAGAAAACATCCAAGACAATATCACTTTTAGATGTCTGAGAACACTGTCTGATGTTATCTCAGTAAGAAAAATACTGTATGATTTGTTTTTTCTGTCTTGAAGAGTCAGCTGGGTTTTGATGCCATTTATATTACATGGTGAGGCATGTTTAGAAAAAATGGTAAAACAACTTAGAATTCTACTAATTTTATGTGTTTTTATAGCCTTCTTTTATTGCTAACTTTTCCAGAGGAGCTTCTTAATAACTTTGCCCAGCAAATAGGAGCCTGGAGATTCTGCCTGTATTTTCTCTCTAGCACCAGGAATGACTATGTCATGATGTACAGTTTAACGGTTTTTGAGGTAAGTTGTCAGATAATTTTATGATTTTCTGAAAGGTTTTTCTAGTCAGTTGTCACATCATTGGCACTAGACCACAAAGCAGTGATATCTTAGCGCTTAGGGACTTTGTCCCATACAATGTATCTATCTACATGTTGGTGTTCCAGGGCTCCTTTCTGTCCTTGACACCAGAAAGAGCAAATGGAAGGTTGACTTTATGGTTAAATATCTGAGTGTGTTTGATGACATATACGTTTTCCTTCTTTGTTACCATTTAAAAGAGAAAGATAGGGATGGGGTTTTAGCTCAGTGGCACTGTGCCAATCTCATAAGCGCAAGGTCCTGAGTTCAGTCCCTGTGCAAAACACCAAAAAAACAAAACCAAACCCAAAACCACAATTAAAAAAGAAAGATAACTAGCCGGGGATTTAGCTCAGTAGTTTCGCGGCCTGCGCAAGGACCCAAGTTTGATCCCTGGTACCAAAAAAAAAAAAAAGAGAAAGATAACTAAAGAAAAGCATTTTGGGAGAAGGGATGACACCTATAATACCATCATCCTCCAACCACAAAATTTTTCATTTACATATAATATAAATATATATAAATACATATAAATATATATAATATATATATACTGTCTTACACTCCTTGTGCTCTGTCTTCTGTGCACATTTAAAAAACATCTGATTAATATCATATTACTTGTGCCATTTTGTATTCTGTTCCCCCTCACCTTTATATTATATTCTCATAAGTGGTTGTACCATTATGCACCAAGGCATTCTCCTGCTTTTAAACATTAAGTTATTTCTGTCATTATTGTTTGGAGGCCATTAGAGACAGTGATGTGATACGAAGTTTTACACATACAGCTTTTCATGTCTGTTATTTAGCAGGTCTTCCTAGGAGTGGAATTTTTGTGTCATAGACTTTATTGTTTGTTACTTTTTTTTTTTTTGCCAGAAGCCTTGAACCACTAAGGTTTTTTTTTTTTTTTTTTTTTGGTGAGGCAGTATAGCTAATCATAGGATGAAAACATGCTATTTTTGAATGTAGATCATTAATTTAAAAGATACATATTTGTTTTTCAGAATCTGATCAATAAAATGTGGCTTGGTGTACCATCTCAGGATAAGATGGAAATCCGTAGCTGTCTGCCCAAACTCCTTTTGGCTCACCATAAAACATTACCTTACTTTATCCGGAACAAACTCTGCAAAGTTATTGTTGATATTGGACGTCAAGATTGGCCCATGTTCTACCATGACTTTTTTACTAACATTTTACAGGTAAGGATATACCAGGGGAAACTTTATCTTATAAATAGCTTGTTTATAGAAGTGATTATTTCTTTATCTTGAGGAGTTGTAAGATCAGTGTTTTGGAACTGCAGTGATGAGATTATTGTAGGATGGATTATGCAGTCACTTAATTTTATATTCCTGAGATGTGTTGTACCTTTGTGCAATGGAGAAGCAACTACTTTATTAATTTCTTGTGAAATTCTGTTTAGTGAGTGTTAAGCCTTGTGTCTAGCTGTCCCCCCCCAAAGCCTCATGAGAATGAGGTGGGGCTATTTTGGAGGTGGCTGAATCTAGAGTGTGTGATTCATGGTGCAACACCATGCCTGAGAACACTAGGATTAAGGGTGTGAGTGCTGCCCACCCTAAGTAGTCTGAATGAGATAAAAGGGGCAGGGAGACAATGTTAAGGTCTCTAGTTGATTTTGCTGTGTTCTGAGGCCATGACCTGTCGCCATTCTGCCTTGGAGCAGCCAGACTATGGACTGAAACCTCTACAAACTGAGCTAAATAGACCTTTCTCTTTTAACTTCAGATGTTGGATATTTTGTCTTAGCTGTGAGAGAAATGTGACTAACACAGCAAGTATTTGAAAGCCTGTTAGGTGCTGTACCAGACGTTGGGTTACAGGGATGAATATAGTAGTTTCAGAGTTTGGTGGGAAAATAGCTGTGTAGACACTAATTAGCCATCAGAGTATGATTCTTACTACAGTGAAGTATATGTAGAGTGCAATGGTGGCAGAGCATATAGGCTCAGTATTCCTGGGATGGTTTGAGATGCTGGAGTAGAAGAAGAGGCTACCTTGACAAGAAGGTAGGTTTGATGTTTTTGGGAGCTAAAAGTTTTGAAAGGTGAGAAAACATGGCCATGTTTTGAAGTTTGGATTAGGAGGAGCAAAGCAAGAGGGAAGGACCCCAGTAAGGTGGGTATTGGAGAAGTCTGGGCAGGATGAGGAGGATCTGAGCCAAGCAGAGGCCTTACCTGGTAGATGGAGGCAGGGCCTTTAGGGGGCTCTGGTCAGTGACTGGATGGTGAGGGTGTGGGAAAGGAGCAATCTAGACTGACTTCCAGGTTTCTGGCTCAGATAGATTTTCCAGGTCAGGTATTAAGGAAGGGGTAATAGTTTTGCACAGAAGATGGTGAATTCAGTCTGATAAAAATTACGTTTAGTAAGATTTATGTGTTCCTTTTGTGTGATACCTGAATCCGGGGTCAGGAGAGGAGAGAGGTCTGGTTACAGGTTGTCTTAGTTACTTTGTCTTTGCTGGGACAAAATACTCAACACCCAAAGTGAAAGAAGGAAAGGTTTATTTTAGCTCACAGTTTGCAGAGGTTTCAGTCCATATTTGGCTGGCTCCAAGGCAGGGCGGCATGGCAGAGGAGAAACGGTCTATCATAGGGCAGGTGAGAGGCATCAAACAGCAAGCCTCCCTTTCCCTTTCTTTTTATTCAGGCCACACGCCCATTGGTTGCTGCCACCCACCCCTAGGGTGAGGCTTCCCTTTATCCACACCCAGAACTGTGCCAAGCCAATCAGTGGACTAATTTAGTTATCACACATCCTTAGTCCATATTTACACACCCTAGATTCAGCCTCCTCCAAAAACCTCCACCTATGATGGCACTTATGAGGCTTTGTGGGAACATTAGATACAAGCTGTAACACAGGTCAAGATGTGGAAGTCATCAGGAAATAGATGGGATCTAAAAGCTTAAGAAGGGGCGGGGGATTTAGCTCAGTGGTTCTGGTGCCTGCCACGAAGCACCAAGTCCCAAGTTCGATCCCCAGTACCAAAAAAAAGAACAACAAAAAATAAAAGCTAAAGACGATACCTTTGCTCATTTGAGTCCTGTGATGAAGGCGGGAACATTTTCATGTTATTGAGTATTCAGGAAATGGATATTGTGTACAGCTCATAGATATAAAATTCTTTGAAAATTAGCTAGTCTCAGTGACTGTAGGGTAGGGTTTTCTAAGATAGTATTATTTTCTAATATTTTGCTTGCTCTCCTTCCAAACCATTTGAATGGTGCAGCAGTTTAGAAACATTCAGCATCCATGTTGCTTTTCACAGACTGCCAAAGGGACACAAAAGTTCTGCATTCAGTTTTATTTTGTTTTATAATTCATTTATCTAGATACTGCAAAGGATATTGATGCGTTATTCCATAAACTTCATTGAACAACTGCCATGTGCTAACCCAGCAGGTGGCAAGGATACAGTAATGATCAGTGTAGTACTTCCTTACCCTTGGGATACATCTGACTTCTAGTTGATGCCTGAAGCCCTGATAGCACTGAACTTTAGATATACTATGTTTATTCCAAATGGACAAACTTATGATAACATTTAATTTACAAATCAGGCACAGTAAGAAATTAACAACTAATATTAAAATAGAACATTATAACAATATGCTATAATAAAAGTTATGAAAAGGTGGTCTCTCTCTAAGTAATTTTATTGTACTTCCACTTTTTCCCTTAAAGGATGCACTTAGGGCTTCTACTTGGCCTATCTGAATGATTATTCTTATGCTTTGGGACTGTTAGTAAAACAGTGTTATTTGAACATGCAGTAAGTACGGTGACCATTGATCTGATCTCTCACTAGCTGGCTCCTGTGTGCCTTTTGGGCAGGTGGGATGCACTGCCTGGATATCCTGGACAAGGGCATGACAGGCAGACCGGAGCAGGATGGCACCGGCTTTCATCACATGACTCAGAATGGCATGCAGTTTAAGACTTAGGAGTTATTTATGTCTGGACTTTTCTGTTTAATATTTTCAGACCATGGTTGACTATGGGTAACTGAAACCTCAGAAAATGAAGATGTGGGCAAGAGGGGACTGTTGGGTAAAGTATCTGCCTTTCTGGAGTCCAGAATTTTGATGTGGGGCATCAGCAAACAATAAACAAATAAATACTTTGAGGTGGTTTATTGTGAAGCAAATCCCAGGGTAAGGGGAAAGAGTCGGTTGGGGATGTTATTTAGATGGCATGCTCATGGACTGCTTTGAGGGCACAGGCATTTGAGCAGAGACCCTGAGTGGAAGTGATGGAGCCGTGGCTATGTAGGGGAACAGTGTTTGGGGCAGAGTGGAAAGCAAGTGCAGAGAAGTGGAGAACTGGCAGTGAGGCCAGAGAGCTTGGAGGTTGGGACAAGAGCCCTCTCTGGTTGGTACACTTTGCTTCAGCTTCATAGCTTTCTGAAAGAGACCCTGGGACATCCACTGGAGAAGGAAACCCAAGAAGGTTGGGAGTCTAAGTGAACTCATCCTGAGTTGTTTCATGCCTGTTCTGTGAGAAGTGAGGAATTGGAGGTGGAGAGCCACAGTCCTGATGGTGGGTCGTATTTCCACCCTGGTGGGATCACTTGTGTTGAGGAAGCAAGGAACATTTTCTGTTTGTTCTTGAAGCCTGATTATTTATAACTAATTAGAATTGGGAAGAACATTTTTTAGGTGAAACACCTAGTAGTGGAAGTTTAAAAGGCTAGTTGTCTTCTATTCTTTACCACTTCCTCCTGAGCACTCACTGAAAAATGATTCCTTTACCCTGGTAGCCTTCATGACTTAGAAACTCCATGCTATGGCAAGAGCACTGGGCTGGGAGGCAGCAGGGTTGGCTCCTTCTTATTCATTGTTGTGTAAAATCATCCCTGGTGCTAGCAACTCCTGACTCTCACTGAGCCCTTTCCTTCTCTGAGTAGTAGGAGGATTGAACTAAGTAGTCTCAACATGTTTTCCAGTTGTATTACTTTCCACTCTTTATTTACCAAGATCAAGAATGAGCATTGCTCAACCACTGACATTTCTGATAATGATTTATAAAGTAAACCTTTTGTTTAGGCATTGGTAAACAAGACCAAACAGGTACTGGAATAAATTTTACTATCACACGGTCCTTTGAATAAACCATCTAAATTATTATTACTTTTTCTCAATTCTGTCTTGGTCTATGTACAGTCTAGGGTGCATAGTATTTTCTGGTTTTTTTTTCTTGGTACCGGGAATCGAACTTGGGTCCTTGCACTTGCGCAGCAGGTGGTGAAACCACTAAGCTAAATCCCCGGCCCAGTTTTTGTTTTTAATTCTGCAACAGTTGGCTGGGAATCTGTCTGTGCAATTTATGTTAAAACTGGCAACTGCCCTACCACTCAGAGAGAGTTGATGAGGGCTCTAGAATCAGCTGCAGCTCTATGGGTTGATTCTGCCCTTCGAGGCTACCTGAGAAGGAAGTGGAAACTGACATGAAGTCGTTCCCCCCCCCCCCACTAGCACACACAACACCCTTTAGGGTCTTTTCTGCAGCTTCCTGGAATTTACTGAGCCAAACCTTTGGTGGAATTGTGCTGGGGGGCAGATAATTAAAGAGTTAGCAGAATGGGAAAGAATTGCTGTATAAGAAAAGCTGTGAGCCAGGCATGGTGGTGGTGCACGCCTGTGCCGGTAATCCCAGTACTCAGAGGCTGAGGCAGGAGGGTTGCTGCAAGTTGAAGGCCAGTCTGGGTTACATAGTGAATTCAAGGCCAGCCTGAACTGCATCGAAAGACCCCCATCTCAGAAAAACAGTGAAGACAACAACAAAACAACAACAAAACAAAAGCTGTTGAATCTTTAAAAATTTTTGCTTTTCCTCTTTTGTTTTTATTCTTTGTTTTTTGTTTTTTCATTTTTTGTGTTTAATTTTTTATCCATTTATTGAGCCTTTTTAAAAAGTTCACTAGAAACTTGAATTTGAACCTAAGGTACTTATTATTTTTAAAAATAAATTGCAGGGCTGGGGATTTAGCTCAGTGGTCCCAGCGCCTGCCTTGCAAGCGCAAAGTCCTGAGTTCGATCGCCCCCCCTCCAAAAAAAAAATGCAAACGCCAAAAATAAATTGCAGAGATTTTGTTTTGAGCTTAAATTGTATATGTAAAGATGGTAAAGGGAAACACCATTTTTTGGTACCGGGGGTCAAACTCGTGACCTTGCGCTTGCACAGCAGGCAGCGAAACCACTGAGCTAAAACCCTGGCCTGGAAACACCATTTTAATAAAGATTTCTGGATATAAAGCTATTTAGAATAAAAATTACATATTTTCTTAAGTTCTTCCAAATAAAAAATGACTCTCTAATATTCCTGAGGCCCTGGGTTCCATAGTTAGCACTGCAAAATTAAACAAAGCACAGCAAGAAGTTAGGAAGAATGACTTTGTTTTCTCCATCCCCTTCAGTGGTGGGAGAAGGGAAGGTCTTTAAGATACATCTTCCATATTGTAGGAATTTTCCTCTCCTGGGAAGCACAGAAACGTTTCATCTCCATAAGAAAGTGTAGTGCTGAATGGAGTGTTTGGCAATATGAGTCATTCCCAGCTGAGTGAGAATGAGTTCTTGGGGAGAAAATAGGGACAAAAGAAGTAGAGAAGAAAGGAAGAAATGCAAGGTGGCTGTAATGGGAAGCTTTTAGAGTACAAATGGATAACCCAAAGGCCTCCCTCCAAATGAAATGCTTTATTATGGAACAAAAATTGAATAGAACTGGTAGTTCTGTTCCTCTGCTAATACACTGAATTTAATGTTAGAAAGAATTCAGTTGTGTAGAAAATGAAGAGAAAAATTGAGAAGGATGTTAAATTTTAGCATTCAAGAGACTTGACCTTTACAGAGGACACACTTAATATACTGTTTATACTGCTGGCCTCACCTGATGCTGTGTTTGTTTTTGTTTTGTTTTTGTTTGCTTTTTGTTTTGGAGACAGGATCTCACTGTGTAGTTCAGGCTGCCCTTGAACTCACTAAGTAGCCCAGGCTGTCCTCAAACTTGCTATGATCCTCCTGCCTCAGCCTCCTGAGTGCTAGGATTATAGGTGTGTGCCACCTCACCCAGCCACATCTTGCTGAGTTTGAGGGCAGTTAAATTGTCCTTAAAGTCTCATTACTGATGTCTTCCTCTTTGGGGATCAGCTTTTCTTTGGTCTGTGCTGGGAAAGGAAAGTGTCATATTTCTCGATGTGAAGAATCTCTGCTTTGTATGGTACAGTTCCCAAGTGTCCTTTTACTTCCTGGAGTTTAAATTTTGTAGCTTAAGTAAAGCAGTTGTATCATGGAATGAACTACATTTAAAGTTAATTATGATTAAAGAAAAAAATTGATGCTCCTTAAATTGTTTGCTTTTAATAAATTGTAGCATATAACTCAACAGAGAACTTTAGTGGCACCTCACTTACTTTGATTGTTTCTGGAAACTAAAAATTAAGCACAGTAGTAATGTTTTGAATTTTGGAAAAATGATTAGGAAGATAAAGGTAGTATTAGTCTGTTGAAGGTGTGCCTTTTAACATTTTTTTTTTATTTATTGAGTTTATTGGTACATTTTAGGTATATGTTATAATCACATTTATCATTGGTAATTTGTACCTGTACATGATATATCTTTTTCTTTCGTACATGATGTATCTTGGTTATTTTTTTCCCGTTCCCCTGCCCTCCGTGCAACCCCTCCACCCCTCCTTATATAATTGAAAAAAAAGAAGGAAAAATAGAATCTTTAAAAAAATCAACAGGAAAAATGTAATATCTGGTTATTTTAGTGGCTTAGCCATTTAAAAATACTATCAGTGTCTAAAATATAGCTTAAAGTCTTTGGAAGTGGAAGTGGTACTATCTGAATAATTCACTTTACTGAACTTTCCTGTCTGGCTACTTCAGTGAAGGCTCCCGGAGCACAGCCAGGGGAATACACATATGAGTAACCAAAGGTCTTGGCCCTAAAGAAGCCTCTAATTTTGTGGGGGTAACAAATGTAAGTAAGCTAATATAATATTAAGGAAAAGAGTGGCTGTGGAAATAAAGAGGGTCAGTTATGAGTTAACTAAATCAGCCAATATTTTTCTGGAACTTTTATACTTTGTATCATATTATTAAATAAAATTCAAGGTAACACTCTTCTTTCTTTGTATTGACATGCTATATAATGTCAAAACCATATTTTGTTTACTCAAGAATATAGGTGTCATATTGCAAAAACACGTCTCAATTCTCAAGTAGCATTGCTGAACATATAAGAAATACAGATGTCTGTCAAATTTATAAATGAATTTTAAGCTAGAAATAAGTATTTAACTAAGATCTTGCTAAAATATTTATGTGTTTTTAATGTCATTACAAAAATCAAATATCAGTGACTGAACATGTTGAAATACTCTGAAAATGCCCATGCATGCTGCATTTGGAAGTGGGCCGTGTCCCTGTTAAAGTAACCCTAACCCTCAGTGACCAGGGACACAGATGCAGTGGCACAGGCGTCCAGATGCAGTCACTCTGTCCCAGTACTTTTATAGAGCTGACCTTCAGAGGCTTATAAATTACACAGATGGTGCTAAACATTTATTCTTATTTTATTCTAACACAGATCATGCATACAGTGGGCACAAGCTCTCCTCTAGTATCCCAGGCCAGAGTGTTGAAATAACTTTTATAAAAAACACAAATTCTAGAAATGCCATTCATGATGCAGGACAATTACTGCACTCTCCAAGGAAGTACAGTGCAAATCCATCAGCTTTCGTGGCTACTCTGATGATGCTCCTCAACTCATAGAGGAGCAAATGGTTGTCTCCTCCTGTATCCAACCGTTCTGCATAGGTGTTTAGCTCATATACAACTCCTTGCATATTTGTATCTTGGTACCTGCTGACTTAGGAGCTGAGTCATCTTCAAGTGTGTTGTTTTTCCTCTTCAGCCATTTCTCTGCAGTCTCTGCACTAACACTTTCAGATACAAACTCATCTAACACTTGGGGATGAAGAGAGAGGTACGCCTTCACCTTTTTGTCTGTTAAACTGGGGCCCAGGAAACGCTTGGTCAGCCTTAGGCTCTTACTGTTAGACATCTTCCATGTCGGAGCCGAAAAGCAGCGGCGAGGCAGCGGTGAGGGTGCAGCTGGCACCTTGGGGCCACAGGGCCGGGCGCAGGGCCAGGGCAGCCCCTGTCAGCACTGGGAAAGCCAGGGGAGCCCGCGCCGCCGCTGACTGGACAGAGGGGGAACCGGGGTGGCAGAGGCAGCGGGTCCTGGTGACAAAGGGAGTAGCAAGCCCTGGAGGAGAGTGAGAGGAAGAGCCGCCGCCGCCTGCCGCTGCGGGGACTCACATTTTTTCTTTCTTGTATAAACGTATGGTGCAGGCATAGTGCAGTTGGTAGAGTTTGTCACACAGGCAATTGCAAGGTCCTGACTGTAGTCACATGACAGGTATGTGTGCTGCTGCTCTCCATATTTAACCGTGAATTTAACCCAAAGCATGCAAAGCTTAAAAAAGTTTGGATCTGTGAAATTAGCTTTGGAACCTAATTGTTGAAAAGATAGAACAAATTGATTGACGCGTGTACAGTAAGTCCCCAACTTAGGAATGATGGAGTTTCAAACTTGCATAGATATGTATGAACCTCACATTACGAACACTCGTAGATATGAACAAATAGCAGAAGTAGCTCACATGTCTGCTCTGCTGCACATTGTCATACTTGTGCTCCTGTGTTCTTCCTGTACAGTGCGATAGTTACAGTAGTACAGTGCTTAGAGCCCAGGCTGTCTGGAAGCAGGAGGAAAAGCAGTGGTGATGTGGAGCGGACTGCTAGGAAGCACAAAACAATAGCCATGGAAAATCACTTCTCAGCCTTTTGGCTAAGATCAAGTATAATAACCATGGAAACAACTGAAAATAATTGAGAGATGAATTATTTAATCTCTATAGAATTGCACAATTAGCACAATTCTATAGAACTAGGATTAAGGTCGTGGAACATGTGAAGTTTTTTTTTTTTTGGTGCCAGGGATTGAACTCGGGTCCTTGCACTTGTGAGGCAGGCGGCGAAACCACTGAGCTAAATCCCCAGCCCCAGTATGTGAAGTTTTTTATGCTTTACATTCTATATTTGTATCAAAGGTGATAAGACTCACTTTGTTGGACTTGCTGAACAAATCCCACGTAGAAATGTTTTCCTGGAATGGAACTTGTTTGTAAGTTGGGGACTGTGTATTAACATGTTCATGACAGGGCCATAATTTGTATATCTCATGCCTGGTGGCTTAAGCCACCTGTGATACATGCATGAGTGGTCCATGGGGTGGCTTTTTATTAATTTTATGAGTAAAAAGACTGATAAAAGTGATTAGAAGCTGCTCAATGGGACAGTCATGCATGTACCACTCTGGTGGCTCAAACTGGTGGGAACGTGTTAAATATATATATCACCAGTACATACATACAATTATGTGTTTCTTAACAGCAGGGCACATTATGGAAAATGAGTTGTTGGGTGAACATTGTAGCACATATTGACACATCCCTGGGTTGTAGTGCCTACTACTACACACCTAGGCTGTGTGATGCAGCCTGTTGCTCCTTCACTGCGAACCTATACAGCATGTTACTGTACTGAGTACTGTAAGCAATTGTAACACAGTGCAAGTACTTTTGTGTCTTAACTATATCTGAACCCAGGAAAGTATAGTAAAGTTACAAGCTGGTAAGAATTTTCCATTTGCTTTATAATTTCATGAGACCATTGTAGTATATGTGTTTTGTCTTCAGCATAATCATTATAATGTAGTATGTGATTCTCTATTTTTGTCTGTATGTGTATATAAAGTTTGGCTACTAGGTAAAGTGAGCAAGACTGTTGGAAATCTGGACCTGGATAAAAATTGGCATATTAGGTATAAAAGAACGTTTTTCTCTAACTGTCTTTAAGTTCATGGTATTGAATTTAGTCCTTAAAATAAGATGAAAATATGTTTTGAATGATTAGTTAAGTAAAACTATGTAAATATACTTCAAGTATATAAATATACTTCATTTTTCTACAGTGATTTTTATGGCTTGTTCATGTAAGATTAAGCAAATACAAAGGTACTCAACAGGGTTAATGCTACTGAGTCCTCTTTGTACCTTATTAATTCACCCAGCACTCTCCTCAGAACTTGCTTTCTCCCGGCAGTTGATCCAGTCTCCTGCGACGACTCCCCTTGGGCTGATCATGTTGAAGACCACCTCAGAAGAGCTGGCTTGTCCCCGTGAGGACCTCAGTGTGGCTCGGAAGGAGGAGTTGCGGAAGCTGCTGCTGGATCAGGTGCAGACTGTGCTTGGGCTCCTGACAGGTAATTAGTTGGTGGCACCCAGAGGTGAAGGCCTGCCTTAGACTCCCAGGGCTCGGGCCTTTTGAGCTGTTCCTGAGACTAAGCATAAAACAAAGAGTTTAGTGCTGCCTTCTCATGCCCTGTAGCCCAGTGTCTTAACACACACTAGAACCTCGAAATAGATCTGTAACGTAATTTCCTTGTAGTTTCTCCTTAATTGGCCTTCACTATATTTGTGATTAATGAGGTATAGTCTAGGTCATGGGGATGTGACTGAAATACCAATGCTGTAGTTTAAGTTAGGTGGGTGGCAAGCATGTTATGTAGAATGATTTGAATTTAAGATCAGAAGTTGGAAGGGTGGGACGATGTGAAGATTTTCCATTCTGTGCAAGGAAGTGAGACAAGGTGTGGAATCACCTCCTGTGCCCTAGGTTGCAGTTATACGTAGCATTTTGTTCCATCTGTTGAATTAGAGCCTCGTGGCAGGGTGGGAAGGGCAAGCACACCACGTGTTGAGACAGGAAGGTGGAAAGAGTAGAGTGCCCGAGTCCCAGGGGCCGTGGGAGCCCCCTTGTTCAGGGTGTGTGTGCAGCAGCTCTGCACTGGGCCCTCCAGTGCCAGGAGCCTGGGTGTGCTACCGGACAGAGTGTGGTAGTGAAGAGAAGTGTTTTCACCTCCAGCTCCTCTACCCAGATTTCTTCCTGAATGTTGAGTAGCTCTTTTTTATGTCCACTTTGATGCTTGTTATGTGGCAGATCCTTGAAATTGGTTGAAATGATGATTGATTAAAAGTGAACTGTCTCCTCAACCTCCTTAAATCCTTGATGGGAGCTCAAACCTCAGAGCATTTATTTTTCACAGCACACTTACTGACACCCCACCTAGATGTTAATTTTATATTTAGGGACCATATTGTATGTCTCTCTGTCCTGTGCCTAGAATCATTTCAAATATTTAAAAAATTGAAATACAATTCACATAGCATAAAATTCAGCAAAGTATAGTAATTCAGTGTTTTTCCATATATTCACAAGATTGTACAGCCCCACTATGTAATTGTGAAACATTTTTATCATCTGAAAGGAACCCTGTACCCATTAGCATTCTCCTCTTCTCCCAGTCCCTGGGAACCACTGATTTACTTTTTGTCTATATGGATTTGTTTATTTTGGACTTTTCATAAAGTGGAATCATGTATGACCTTTTGTGTTGTTAACTTTCACTTAACGTTGTTTTCAAGATATATCCGTATGATAGTATTAAATCAGGTAAAATATCTTTATCAGTCTGTATGATTATTGTATGTGCCAGGATCTATAGGGGAACACCAGGAATAAAGCAGTTCTTGCCCTCTGGTAATATGCATCCTTGTCTGGGAGAGGCTTGTAAGCAGGCAGTTAAATTAGAGGTATGTTTTCATGTGCAGCCAGAAGTGAGCAGGCTGGAGGAGGTGACAACTGGATGGATTCTGAGGGATAGATAGGTAGCAGGTAGTTTGGTGGAAAGGTCAAGTTAGGATTTGGGATAGGAAAGCAGGTCAGAGGTGGAGAAACACATGTTGAAGGCCCTGTGGATGGTTTGGCACAATGAATCCTTGTGTGTGTGTGAATCCTGAAGGCTGGGATAGGTGAGCAGAGGCCAAGTGCCGAGATTTGTGATGTGATACTTTTACCCAGTGAGGAGCATGGGAGGCTTAATGGCAGGTTTATGGGGGAAGAAAAGCTGAGGTTGGTATGTCCAAGAGGAGTTGTCCAGGAAGCAGCTGGCTCTGCAGATGTGTGAGTGAATGTTACCTTGTTTTTAAGTCCCTGTGATATGACGTGGAGCTGGTATATATAATCAGGATGAATTTTGGAGAAGCTTCAGAATGTTTTGTTAAAGCCATGGCAGTAGGTGAATTATTTCAGCAGAGATGGTCAAAGGAGAGGAAAAGATGGTGACTAAACAAGAGGTCTATAGGGAACAGGAAAGGGGACGTTACCAGAACCCCTGCAGTGGACCCTGGTCTCTTGTGAGCTGTGGCAGCACAAGGCTAATTAGGAAACAGAGACTTAGAGAAAAGGCTGGGTCTTGGGCCTGATCAGTGATGCTCTAGGCAGCAAAGACAAAGGCACTCTGAGCGTGCCACTATTTATTAGGTTCATAGGGAGTATCAGATGACTCAGAGGGCAGAGGATGAGGATCTTAGGTCGTAGAGGAGCTTAAGTTGATTAGGACAGTGAGAGCTAAACTTCTTACTACAGTAGGTGGGATGAGTTAAGGTGATAAGGAATTTGTCCTTCCCCAGGTGAAACCTTTTTGTATTACTACTGGGTTCTCAAAGAACCAGGATGTCTTCAGCTGATGTAATCTTGCCCTTGAGCATCATAGCATCACGGGACCATTGAGGCCTCAGCCGTGACCAGAGGCAAAATGGAGTTTTGTTTAAGCATGCCATAGCTGGCCTGTAGGCAAGAATGCTAGGCCTCATACAGCCCTAATCATAATTTAATTGTGAAATGATTTTTTTCTGTAAAATTATGTAGAATGGCTCCTGACAGAGGTCTGGGGAAAGAGGTATAATTTAAATGATGGATGGTCAAGGGGTGGTGGTAATAGAGAAAGAGATGGAATTGTTTTTAAGGAAACCAGAGAAAGAAATGGCACCAGGGGCTCAGAGAAGAGTTTAGGCAGTGGCCTGAAGTGCCACCCAGTAGTCAAGGAGGATAAGGATTAAAGTGACCTTTGAGTGGACCTAGCAACCAGGTGACCTTGGGAAAGAGCAGTGTGTGGAAATAGTGGGAAGAAGCCACATCGCCAAGTTGAGGTGAGGCAGCGGCCATGGTGAGTGGGACAGTACTCTCCAGAATCCGTAGCTGAAAGTGGGGGGCATGGCCATGAGCTACAGGGAACATAGAGTTGGGAGGGTTGTTTAAATACTGATGTTTGATGAAAGGTTTCAGATCGGATTTTTATATGCTGTGCTTTATGTCCCTCTTAAAGTCAGTTTCTCCTTTCTTGGTAGGTATCTTGGAGACCGTCTGGGACAAACACAGTGTTACTGCTGCCACTCCACCACCGTCCCCGACCTCTGGAGAAAGTGGTATGGCCTGCCTGTCACTCAGTGCACTGTGTGGGTGGGGCGTGTCTCAGCAGAGCATAGCTTTTATAGCTTATGGGTACAGATCCTGATTCTTCCCTAATGTGTTTTGTTCTTTCTGACCATGTTCCCTAATTAGCTAGCTTTCTGCTTTTTCTTTCTTTTTTTGGCTAAGTATTTGTACTTTCTTTCTTTTTTTTTTTAAATATACTAGCTTGATCAACACATTTTGCTTCTTTTGTACGCATGATGAAGATGGCACCTTTGGTCAGTCTTCTGTCATCTGCCTCAGTCCCTGTCACCTTTTCTTTTTTCCTCAGGTTTCATGGTTGTGTTGCTCGTGCTTAGGTAGTTAGGGGCCCTCGGGCTTGACAGGTCTGCTTAGCTGAGCAGTGGGTAGCAGCAGCCGAAGGAGAGCACTTGGGAGTAGAGAGTGCTTTCTCCTCACTGGCCTGGGGCAGAAGTCATGTTGGCCAGGATGCAATGTCTCTTGCGCAGTAGTTAGCACTGAATTTACATCGGTTAAGAATAAATTGATAAAGCCTGGGTATAATCACAGTGGTTATTAAATACTCTACAGTTGCTAGTTATTGTCCACAGTTACATTAGTATCTGTTTCAGAAATCGACTGCTTTCAAAGGATAGATGAAAAGAGGAAATTGTGTTGCAGCAGGAACGTGTAGTTCCTTAATCCTCTGTTTACACTAAATGATCACAAATGCTTTTCAAGTAGAGTACATCATGTGAATTGGCACCTATTTTCTTCCTGTACTGTAAAGGTTGATGTGACTAATGAGAAATATTTCCACATCTTTCTTTTTTGCCCCAAGGAAATGGTCTGTTGAAATTGGATGTTTGTATGATCTGAGTTCAAGCTGTTTTATATAGCCTCTTGTTAATATGTGGAAATTGAATTTGTTGCAGTTACTATGGAATAAAAATATATCATGAAGTTTTGGGCACTGCTCAGAGTACACTATTCCTAATTTCATTTATCATACTTGGATTAAAAACTATTAGACATTTAACATAGAACTTAGATTAAAAACTATGAAGTTCTGGAATATATTTAAAGCTCACAGAAATTTGAACTATATTATTTTTATTTGGTGGCAAATCGTGTGTGTGTGCACGTGCAGATGTGTATGTGTTGCTGGGGAATGAGCCCAGGCCTCATTCATGCTAGGGTAATTGGTCTACCACAGAGTCCCACTCCCCACCATTCTTAAGGAGAGGTGGCTCAGTACATTTATATTTTTCAATCTTTGAGTGATTAAAGAAAAATTTGTAAGTGATGTAGAGATTTGATTTTATCATTGGACAAACACCTTGGAGACTCCCATAGTTTGTTTAGTCTTTAAATTTGTCATTTCACTTAAGTATGATTTGCAAAGATTAGTTCTTTTGAATTGGGTTTGTCTGTAGATAGTAGCATACTACTAGCTTAGCATTTAGTTAAAGTCAGCTGCCGCAGCTTACTGCAGTAAAATTTGTTTTTCTGAGATCATTTTTTAGTTCTCAAAGATAATGTGTTTTATTTGGTGTTGTTCAAGTATGTTCTTGAGGCCAGGTTGGGGAATATACCATATAAATGAAAAATATATTCTTTTATATGTTGCCTAGGTTTTGTTTATAAAGTTAGGTGAAATGATCTTGACATTTCTGTATAACAAAACCTGGACATGTAGAGCCTACTTTTTGAGAATTGCCTTTTAAACACTTTAAAATGTTTTGAAGACTTGACTTTCAGTATTTGAGAAAATGCTAATCAGAGTTGTAGGGGTGGGAGCCTAGGGAGTTAAGTAAGCTTTGAAGCTGATGTACTTCCCCTTCAACAACCGCAGGAACAATTGTGTGTGCATTTGTTAGATTTTTTTTTCTCTTTATGATAATTGTAAGTAAAGTCATTGGATCTTGGTCCATTGTTTGGACAGTGTTGATGATTTAATCAGTGTTTATTTTGCTGCTTTCTTTGTGCACTTAAAACACCACATTAAGTAAAATTTCAGAGAACTGTTTAGCTTTCTTGACCCTGTAGGCTGAGTTTTGTAGAAGTTCATTCTAAGAAACTGGAGAACCCAGTGAATAAACCAAACGAATTCCTTTGCATATCCCATCAGCAGTCCCTACTGGGTGCTCCCTACCCTGCCTGAATTCCTAGGGAGCTCCCTTTCAGACTTAGGAGTTTCTTTAGGCTTTTGGTCTGTTTTCCCATACACTTCCCTTTAATATAGTTTTAAGTCTGGTTACTTTCAAAGAAGAGAGTCCAGGGACTTGTAGTCCCTGCAGCAACAACAACTGTAACCCTCTGGAGATAGAAAAAGGTTTAAAAGAGTATGTTTTTTTCTAGCAATAGTTCCTCTAAACTTCTGCCTAATCTCCTAAACCTACCACAATAACCATCCCTCAGTGAACTAGATGGGACTTTGGTGAAGCAGCTGATGCTTTTATCTCTTGTTTACAAACAAGGACACAGGGGCTTATGGAGGGTAGCTGATCAGAGATCACGTAGCTCATGAGTGGTGGAGCGGGGCCGTGGACCCATTGTCCTGGGCCTGGTCATGGGGTGTGTGTCCTCATTTTGACCTCCCTTTTTTTTCACTGGACTGAGGATGAACCCAGGGCCTTGCATGTGTTAGCCAAGTGCTTTGCCGCTGAGCCTCACCTCCAACCCCTAACTTTGCCTTCTTGGTCACTGTCACCACTTCTGGCCTCATCCTCCAGCCCCTGGTTTTGAGTCCTGGTCTGCCTGCTTACTGTGTGACTGTGAACCAGGTCCTTTTAATTCTCTGACCGTTTATGTCTTTAGCTGTAAAAAGAGAATAACTGCTTCTGAGGTAGAAGTAGGGAAAGAAGCAGCAGACAGAGCTCTCCGGCCGAGGCACCTGTGCCTTTCTGCTATACTGGCATAATCTGTGCCTCTTACTCTCCTCTTGTCTGCACTTCTTGCTTGGACAGATGGGAGGGGGTGCAGAGTGAAATTAGATAAATACTGCAATTCTTGGTTAGCTTTGATTATCCTGCAATAAAAATGAAGGGCACCGTATTATCTTCATCCCCATGGTGTGTAGTTTCAAATATAGATCTGTGATATATTAGATACCTTGAATTGAGACCGCTGTATGCCTTCCTACTTTCTCTCAAATTCTTTTCCAATTGCATATCTTTGTGTGTATGTAAATCTTTTCGTGTATCCCTTATAAGCTACCTATAAAAGATGAGACTCAGAAGAGTCACCCACAACTCCTGTGATCTCATGGTCTCCTCCCAAGGGCTCCTTGAAGTTTCCTCTCATCTTACTGAATTAATGCTACAGTTACATCTGTGGTTCTCAGCTGAGCAGATTTCGTCTCACAGGGTATATTTGGTGATGTCTGGTGAAGCTTTTTGGTTAGTAGAGCTGGAAGAGTACTGTTGACATCTAGTGAGTGGAGGCCAGGGATGTTGCTAAATATCCTGTAGTGCACAGGACACCAAAGAATTAACTAGCCCAGATAGCAGTAGTGCTGAGGCTGAGAGAACCCTCAGTTAGTAAATGCAGAACTGAATGGGAAACGTAAAATATCAGTAAGTTAAAAAAAGATGAAGAAAAAAAAGCTGAAGAGAACTTTGCATGAAGATCTATTACAAGCATGTCCACTATTTCCAGGTTTACCAGTCAGTAAATATACCACATTCACCCACATACCTTTGTGGGTGTGGGCACATGTTGATGTCAGGACCTGGCCTAGTTCAGGGCAGATGAATGACTCACAAGTGTACTTACAGAGAGCTTGGATGTTTGGATTGGAAATGCAGCACAGAGCAGGGTCTCTGTTCTGTGGGGTTTATAATAGAACAACTCTCTTTTTTAAGATAAGATCTTGCTGTTTTGCGCAGGCTGGCCTCAAACTCCTGGGTTTGTGTGATACTCCTGCTTTGGCCTCCTACACCATTGTGCTCACCTTTAAAATAATTTTTTATCGAGAAACAAAGTGAACAGTTTCTTTGGGGGGAGAAGATAAAAAAACGTCTAGGATGATGCATCCTTCTACAAACCTTTGCATGATCATGTTCTTTGTCCTTGTGCATATATCTTCCTACAGTTGCATTTATGTTGTACACATGCTATTTTATGTCATATTTTTCAATATCATCACCTTTCTTCTTGTTCATTTTTCCTGGGCACGTAATTTTTCCAATTGATTTTTGGAAAGGAACATCAACTTAGGGACCAGACCTGATTTTAGTTTTATTTCTATCTCTTGTTAACTGAGGTATTTGGGAAATACTTGATTCATCTATGCTTAGATTATTCTAACAGTCTCTAAATACTGATAATAGTAGTATCTGCCTTAGAGCTGTAAAAATGAGAAATTGCATTAAGAATATACATGTAAATTTTTTGTACAGGGGTGACCAAATAATAACACAGAAGTAGTTGTTCTTACTGTTATCAGTGATACTTGACCTTTTTTCCCCTTAGTGGTCCCGTTCTGGAAAATTCTTCTGAGTCACCAGATAGAGCAACTTCTTACTCCTTTTTGGGGGGGGAGGGGTACCAGGGATTGAACTCGAACTTCTTACTCTTTTAACAAGGAAATTAAACCCCCGTATTAATAAAATCACAAAATCTTCATTTTAATGGCTGAAGAGATTGAGGCTGACAAAGGTTCATTGACTTGTTCATATTTACGACATTAACGTTAGTATAAAGAGGCAGTTTTCAATAGGTCTGAAGACTCCAAGGAGGGCCCCTTAAATCTGGGACACCAAAAGATCGAATGTGTGCTCATAAAAATTCTAAGACATTGTTGTTTTTTTGTCCTATTCTCTTGTGAATGTGTAATAAAAAAGCTCATCGAAATTTTACATTGTAGTTAATGATTTTTTTTTTTTTTTTTTTTTGCGGTACCAGGGATCGAACTCAGGACCTTGCGCTTGCAAGGCAGGCAACAGTGCCATTAAGCTAAGTCCCCGGCCATGTAGTTAATGATTTAAGAAATTACTTGTCAAATTTTAATATAATAAAGTTAACTAAAATAGCATCTAAAAACTTCTCTTTCGGTTGCATGTCTGTATGAAGCTTGAATTTCTTCATATATGTTAATGAAACAGTATATTGCAATACACTGACTTTGAAGCAGACAAGAGAATCTAGCTGTCTTTTTAAAAATGTTAAAAAAAAATTAAAAAACAGTGCTACTCATCACCATTTTTTTGAGTAAAATATGTTTTAAAATTAAAAATATTTACACTAACAGTTTTGTTATTTAAATGAATTAAAAATTTTTAAAATTCTCAGCTTTAATTTTTAATCTGGCCGATATCAGTACAAATAACCCACAGAAACAAAAGCTCTTTGGGATCCCCAATAATCTTTTAAAAAGTAAAGGAGTTCTCTGGCCAAAATATTTGAGACTGCTGGTATAATGTACAAAATACAGTGGAGGCCGGGGATTTAGCTCTGTGGTGCTGCTGCCTGCCTCGAAAGCACAAGGTTCTGAGCTCGATCCCTGGACCAAAACCAAAACAAAACAAATACAGGGCCAGAGATTTAGCTCAGTGGTTCCGGCACTTACCTCAAAAGTACAAGGTCCGGAATTTGATCCCTGGAACAAACAAAACAACACAGAACAAAACAAAACAAAACAACAAATGCAGTGTAGAAGTTCACCCCATATTCCACCATACGAAGATAACATTAATATTTGGTGGTCATTCCAGACAGATCTATACTAGATATAGATAAGACAGATTGGACTGGAGAAAAAATTAAAATGTCATAATCTCATAAATTTCCATTTTTAATAAAGTTTAGTTCTATTTGAATTTAATAGAATACGTTAAACTAAAGGCGTTGCTGAACTTGGGGTACTTTTTCCACAAGAGATACTAATTTCTAAAAGATACCTTTAAAGGTAAGAAAAAAATGGTTATGAAAACCAATTTCCTCCTACATGTATTTTAAACCATATATTTTGGAACATGTTTCTTGTGAAAGATAAGAAAGCTAGTTTACTCTTCTATAATTTCTGTGTTTAGTCTTGATTCTGTATTTAATTCAATTGTAGCATTAGTCCTTTTGCTGTGCTGCATTCCTTAATTCTTCATTTTGGTTAATCTCTTTATTTGCATGTTTTTTGAGATGGTGGCTTGACATTTTGCTTAGGCTAGTCTCGAAATCCTGGGTTCAAGTAGTCTTCCTGCCTCAGCCTCTGGAGTAGCTAGCAACACAGGCATGTGCCATTGTGCCTGGTTTATTACCTGAGTTTTTGCATTTTTGATAAAATGTCACCTTTCTTTATACTGAAAGAATAACTTTGGGTGAAGTTATACTTTGTAGACATACACTGCACCACTGTCTTCTGGCTTTGAATGTTCCATGGGAGAAGCTGGTTTAGGTGTTTTTCCTTTCTACATGTGCTCTATCTGCCTGCATTCCTTCCTCATTCCTAAAATTCTTCGTATTGATCATTATCATTTTTTTCTTAGGGCAGGATATACCCCTTCATTTTGTAGAGTTACATCTTCATTTAAGGAAGTTTTTCTTCTTGTTCTGGTTTTGTCTTCTGTAAAATAATTCTACAGTTCTTTACCCCCAGTTTCTTTTGTGTGATGTCCTTACCCTATTTCTTTAAAAGATGACCCATGCGTAGGAGTCCTCTGTTGAACTTGTGAACTAACAAATACCTGAGCCTCATGCCTTTGGCCTCTACTTTATTAGGTCTGGGGTGGGGCCTGATTGTTTTTATTTTTGAAGGGCTCCAGGTCCACAGACCACATCTTGAGTAGCGTGTTGGTTCTCAGATTCTTGGTCTTGGAACCCATTTACTGTTAAAAATCATTGGAATCCTCAAAAAGCTTTGTGAATTATATCTATTGATATGAAAACTGAGGAATTTACAGATATTTAAAAATAAATATGATCAGCCGGGCACATGCCTATAACCCAAACACTGGAGGCTGAGCCAAGAGGATTATAAATTCAAGCCCAGCCTGTCTCAAAAATTAAAAAAAAAAAAAAAAAATTGAAAAATGGATTGGGGATGTATCTCAGTGCCAAGGCCTTGAGTACTGCAAAAAGCAAACCAAAAACTGAATTTATTACCTGTTAACAGGTAATATAATTGATTAAAACTTTTCTAAAGCAAAAACTAAAATTTACTGAAAAAAGTGGCATTGTGTTACATTGTTGCCAATCTATTTACTATGAAGGGTAGTTTCTGTGTTCTGTGGCAGTAGAACATTCAGCGCCCCTGGAAAGCTTTGTGGTACACCTGTTAGACAATGCAAGTAAGAAAGGAAAATAGCTTGTTAGTATTCTTGTAAAAATAATTCTGAGCCAGGTGTGGTGGTGCACACTTGTAATCCCAGTACTTGGGAGGCTGAGTCGGGAGGACTGCTGTGAGTTCCAGGCCAGCCTGGACTACATTAGTAAGACCTTGTCTCAAAACAACAACAAAAATCAAAAAAACCTTTTTTTTTGAGATGCTAGAAGCTAGCTCGGTGGCAGAGCACTTGACTTCATGTGGGAGGCTCTGTGTTTGAACCTCATACCACCAAAAGGAAGGAAAAAAATTTTTGATTTGTGGACCTCCTGATAGGTCTTGGGGGCCCTCAGGGATCCCCGGCCGAACTGAGGCACTTTGTAGTAATGCTTGGATTTAAACATGTCAGACTGGAAGTGGAGATAGTGAACTTGATAGCACTCGAGTATCACTGGTTTATGTAAGAGTCCTGTCATTATTATTAATTGATTACCTTGGAACCCCATTCTCTTCTCTCCTCTTTCCCCACAGTGGACAGCCATTTTAATGCATATAATGTGTATTTCTTTTTGGTATCACTTTCTTGTAAACACTTACTGGTGCCCATATATTTCAGCATGTAAATGGTATGGTAGTACACAATTGTTTCTGACTTTATTCAGCACTCTTTTGAAGATCTTTAGCTTTTGCCTGTGCCTTTAAAATAGTACTTCTAATAGCGTGACGCGATGTGCAGCCCCAGCATCTTACCTGTCTTCTCCTCACAGTGAAGAGCCCAACTTGCTTCCACTCTTCCCCGTTCTGCGTCTGTGTGTTACCTCTGAGACCTGTTTGAGGGTTGCTTGGGATCATACTGGGAGGGGAATGGTCAGGAGACAGCAGTTCGGGCTGGTGACTGGATGGGTTTATGGAGTGCCAGGTTCTTCACGGAGCAGTGGCGCTGTGAGCGCTCCTCCACCCACCCCACACCCTCCAAACTTGCTTTTCTTCAACATTCTTATTTTTCTCAGAAAACTTGCACTTACTGGTTACCAATGAGTTTGATATCTCTTAATATGCTGGTTGGCTTTTACATTTCTTCTCAAACTTATCTTTTCATATCCGCTGCCTCTCAATATTGAGGTGATAGGGCCGGGGATTTAGCTCAGTGGTTTCGTTGTCTGCTGCGCAAGCACAAGGACCCGAGTTCGATCTCCTGTACCAAAAAAAAAAAAAATATTGAGGTGATAGTTGGTGTGTAGCATTTTTCTTATGTATTTTAGATTTTCATCTTTTCTGGTGTTGATATTGTGCTGCTGTCTTGCTACCTGCCTGGTCATATATCTTTAATGTTTCTCATTGCTTAGAAACTTGTAATTTGGTGCTATTATTTTTTTTTATTGAAGTTTGTGTTTTGGTAGTTTCACATTTGATCTTAGCCAAAAGGCCGAGAAGCAGTTGTGTTTTGGTAGTTTCAGTGTGTCTTTTCATCCCTTTTCATATAGCTCAGGCATACCTATGTTTTTTTTTTCTTTGTTTCCTTGGTTTTTTTTTTTTTTTTTTTTTGGTACAGGGGATTGAACTTGGGACCTTGTGCTTGCAAGGCAGGTGCTGGAACCACTGAGCTAAATCCCCGGCCTTTTTCTTTGAATTTTGAAGTTTTGTCTTTAATCTTTAGCTCATGTGACATATATTTTGTTAGGTAATTTTATTTACTTAATGATCATGTATTTTTTTTTTTTTTTCCTAAAAACAAGGTCATGATTTTGGAGGGCAGAAGGGAAAGCTGGGGTAGGATAGGGTTTTATAGTCAGGGAATAGCCCATTTATTTCCTCAGCACTTTTGTCTCCTGGGAACTGCTATTCTACAAATGTCGCTAAAACTAAATGTGAAACATTGAAGATTATAACCAGATTTTTGCTCAAGAATCAGAATTAATGATCTTATTTTGCTGTATTGTTAAGTTTTTATAGTTGTTTCTGTCTTTTTCTTTGTTTCTTACTGGGGAATGAATCTAGGGTTTTGCACATGCTAAGCTGCTAAGCACCTGCTCTTACCTCTGAGCTCTCCCCCAAGCCCCTTTAGTTGGTATTTCACGTTGAGCATATTGGTTTTATTTTTTTATTTCATAGGCAACTAAATTTTTTTTTTCCGAGGGAGAATTACTTGTAAGAGATTTGATATTGGGTATCATAAGACCTCTTTAAAATTTTCAGGTGATTTGCTGAGTAACCTGCTGCAGAGTCCTAGTTCAGCCAAGCTGTTGAGTCAACCAATCCCCATCCTTGATGCGGAGAGCGAGTATGTCTGCTCCCTGGCCCTGGAGTGCCTGGCCCACCTCTTCAGTTGGATTCCTCTGTCTGCCAGCATCACTCCGTCCCTTCTCACCACCATCTTCCACTTTGCACGCTTTGGCTGTGACACCCAAGCCAGAAAGATGGCCTCAGTGAATGGCAGCAGCCAGAACTGTGTCTTGGGTCAGGAGCGTGGTCGGCTTGGGGTCCTGGCCATGTCCTGCATAAATGAACTCATGTCCAAGAACTGCGTGCCTATGGAATTTGAGGAGTATTTACTGCGTATGTTCCAGCAGACTTTCTACCTCTTGCAGAAAATCACCAAGGATAACAATGCCCACACAGTGAAGAGTAGGCTTGAAGAGCTCGATGAGAGGTAATGACAGCAGCTGTCAGTTGGTGGTGCCCTGAGAAAGGGCCCTGACTGTTTGTCTCGCTGTGTTGTATAGTGTCTGGAATACCCTGTGGTTTCAGAATACGGGGTTCCTGGTGAGGAGCACAAGATGGCTGTGTACCAGTAAGTGTACAAGAGAAGGGGTAGGGTGGCTAAAGGAAGTACGTTGAGTGTGGAAAGTGATGGTGCATTGTGTGGGCTGTTGTCTCTTTTCCCATCCATCTTCTGTCCTCCCTTGCTCTCCTCTTCCCCGCTTCCTCATTATTGCTTGCAGGTCTGAGGTCGTGCAGGAACCAAGACTGCTGCTCCTGCGTAGGCAAGATCAGAAGAGGTCTGAGGAGGTACAGGAGTTACACCGTTTTTCACTTGGTGTTGCTTGTTGGTTTTTACCATTGTCTTTTCTCAAGTGAACATCTTGCAGTATTATTGTTGTGACTTTACACAAATGACAAGTTATATCAAAAGATAGGAGAGATCTAGGTTAATGTGGCAACACCCATATTGCTTTGTTGCTGTCCTCTTGAATATAGCCTAATATTACCCAAACCCATTTTTCTTAGAGCTCTTTAGAAGATGACTTCATCGTGGGAGTCTGAGGCAGGGTATCATTTCTTTTCTTTTTTTTTCTTTTTTTCTTTTTTCTTTTTTCGGGTATCATTTATTTTCTATGCAGCTGATGTCATTTATTGTATCTTAGAGTTTTCACTAGCGTGATGCTACTGTTGTATATTAGACAAGGGAAGTTAAATTATGAAAAATCATGTTGACTGTTTAGAAACATCTAGACAGATACATTGTATTGAATTAGTACATATTTATAGATTTGTCTGGCAGCAAAAGTTATATTGTAGTGAATTTTTCTTGGACTATCCTTGTTACTATACAGAGTTAAGCTGTTTCCTTTTTCTGAGAGTAAAGTAGAGGAATATAGAAATTGCTTAAAGTTAAAAGTTTTAGTCCTTTTAAAGTTGGAGAGTTCCAGGGTTTTCTAACTAAAATCAGTACATATGATTATTTTATCCATTTTAAACAAGCTTTGGATATCATTTGCTTTGTATAATCACAGAAGAACCCATGGTCTGCTATCGTCTTTTCATTATTTAGTAATAACTTTATGAATTCAGAGGCTTTGGGATTCTCACAGTTTTATATCCTTTCTAGCTTGATAAAGGCTTAGCCATTCATGGTGGCACACACCTGTAATCCAGCCACTTGGGAGGCTGAGACAGGAGAATCAAAAATAGGCAACTTAGACTATGTCTCAAAATAAAATTAAAAAGTTAGGGATATAGCTTAGTGCTCCTTGGGGATTGAACCTAGTGCAGCGGGGAAGACAATAAAGGAAGGGTGCCTTGTCCTCATATATTAATAACAGAAATGTAGCTGCTTATGCCAACCACATCATATATCAGTTATTTTCACTTTTCCTTGAAGCACACAGTATAATCAGTCATAGACACTTGTTATGGCTTATGTTCAGATGGTACAGAAATGTCATCATAGGTTATCTGTGTTCTGATTTTGTTGTGCTCTTACTTTTAATCCTATGCTTCCTATTGTCCTGTGAAAGCTGAAAGGTGCCTGGAAGCGGAAAGGTGATATATACGATACTGCGTGCTTGCTTCCTGGCTTTTGGGTCTCTTTCCACTAATTCTGAATAGCTCAGTCCATTCTTGGTTGTTAGGAGCCACTTAACAGATCCTTGGCTTCTCTTCTAGATTGCTTTTCCCCTAACTGCCAACTGTTCATTAGCACCAGTACCAGAAGGTGGGCAAGGGAAAGAAAATGAGGTGAAGTCTAGGCTGCAGTTTTAATTACTGAACAGTGTAATTTTTTAAAAATTGAGTTGGAGATTAAAATAAAATTGAGATTGTTGGATATTTTGCTCATAACTTTGTTCTTTTATGAGTGATAGAGAAGTGAGTGCAGCTTTCTAAAGAACAGTAAATTGGCTGACAACTTTGGAGATCCATGTAAAAATGTAACAAATACACCAAGGAATGAGGAGTTACGCCTCTCTAATATGTATTCGTGATTCAAGCCTACCGAGAGAAGTACTTTCCTATCTCTCCAAACAATTGATTTTAGTGCCTTACTGTTTTCTGTATGTTTGGCTCCGTGAGCCAGGCACAGCCATTTTCCTTATTGGAACAGGCATATATTTTTAGAAAGCTGCAAATAAGCTCCCACATGTGTGAGCCAGGTATCAGAGGTTGGACAGATAGAGTGGCCACCTCGGGATGCTGGGTCCTGGGAACAGCATGGGACATTTCGTTTCTGGGCCAATTTTGTTATTCTGAGGAGTAGCTATCTTCTCTCCCTTTGTTATTTCACATATTTCTGCTGTACCTTTTTGCAGTTAGGAACTTCAGAATTGCTATTTTAGACATCATTTAATTTTCAGTTAAGGCTTAGTATGTTTTTTTCCTTTTTTGTTGGTCTCTAAAATGTGGTTTATGAAGGTATGTTCATCTCATTTTCTAATCACCTTTTGGTATTTAGGGGCTTAAAATGACAGTTTCTGAAATGTGAGAGTGATGATATGCTGTGTATTTAATAACAACACTCTCTTATTCTTGCAGCTGTGAGCTACATTCTTCTGTGAGATAATTTTGTGAATATAAATGAATATAAATGAATTGGGGATTCACTGTGCTGTGAAAAGAAAGAGCACTGGATTCGTTGGGAGTGAATATTAGTCCCCTTCTGCCATGTGCTGGCTGAGTCATCTTGGCTGGTCATGTCACCTCTCTGGGCCTGTCTGTACCATGGAAACTTAAGACTAAATTGTCCTTGAGCTTGCCCAGCTCTAAGAGCCTCTCTCCATGTTTGAGAATCACTTCCACATTGACGTGGGATTGTCACCAGCAGCCAGGGGAGCAGAAATGACTGTTAGGGGATAAGCCTGAATATATCTCACCTGAATGCCCTGCCTTTCGTGTAGCCTTCATTTTATGTCTGTAGCACAATTCATTTTCATATTTTGTCCTCCTTGCAAAGAAAACCAGTCTTCAGGATTTTCCAGATTTAAGTAACATCATAATCTGCCTGTCACCTTTTTAGCACCATCCTTTCAATTGAATCATAACACTAATGAGCTAGAAAATACGAGAGTACTTGCTTATAGCATGCCTTGTAGATAGCGTCTCAGGATTAAAGTTGCTTTTCTGCTGTTTCAGGTGATAATGGAATGAAGGGTTGCCTGTCCTGTAGGTAATTGTTGCAGGTCTTTATATTTTTAACTGAAAATATATTATAAATCTGTATAGAATGAAATTTGGATTGAATTGAAGTTTTTTTCTAAGAAGGTGGCTAGGATTTTTATGTCCCCTTTGTCTTCTTGTCTCCTTCAGCTACATCGAGAAGTTTACCGACTTCCTGCGGCTCTTCGTGAGTGTTCACTTGAGGAGAATCGAGTCCTACTCCCAGTTTCCCGTGGTGGAGTTTCTGACACTCTTGTTCAAGTATACGTTTCATCAGGTAAAGCACCAGAGCTGTTCATCCTTTTTCAAGGAAGGTCTTCCTTGTTATTTCCAGAAGAGAGAGCTTTATTTCCGAAACATTTATGTAGTAGTTAATAAGATTACTGCATTTCATCTTAGCAACCTGTAGGTCCTGTTATTACATGCGTTTTGCAGATAAAGGGACTGAGGCACAAGGAGCAGCCTGCTCAGTGCCTCACACAGAGTTTGTGCTCTTACCCGCTGTCATGGCAGAGAAGCAAAGGACAGAAACAGTCTGAAGTTAGGTCCTTTAATTCTATTCTGTAGCTGTCACTAGAACTCCCCACCAGAAGTAGCATAGTGAAGCTAGGAAGAGTTAACTTTTGGTGGCATGCAGTTTTTTTCCCATTTAACAGATATTTTTTGAGCTCCTTTTCTGCTTCAGGAGTGGGGCATATAGTCTTCACACACGAAATTCTTGGCTTCATTGAGCTTACATCCCAGTATCGCTCTATTTTATACTTACATACATACATATACATGTATGTGTGGGTAGCTTCAAAGCTTTATTGTGGTATTATATATCATGAAAGCCACTCAGTGTAATTTAAGAGCCTAGAGAATTGATAGAGTTGTGCAGTTGTCACTGTAGTCTGGTTTTAACATTTCCATTACACACCCCCTCTTTTGTGTCTTTAAAATAAACTTTTTATTAAAGTATGAGGTACATATAAGAATGCATAAACAGGCTGGGGATTTAGCTCAGTGGTTCGGTTGCTTGCCTTGCAAGCACAAGGACCCAAGTTCGATCCCCGGTACCAAAAAAAAAAAAAAAAGCATAAGTCATGCATGAATAGCCTGATGAGTTTCCCAAATGAACATCCATGGAACTACACCTGAATTGAGAACTCAGTCATATCTGCACCTCAGAAATCCCTCCTGTCCCTTACCTGAGTCACTTCCCCCCTCTTTTCCCACAAGTAACTCCAGTCCTGACCTTAGTGCCACAGGTTAGTTTTGCCTGTTAGAACTTCTCTGAATGAAAGCATATAATGTGTATGTGTTTTGTCTGGCTTTTTTTGTTCGACATTTTGTTTGTGAAATTCATCTGTGTCTCCTGTGGCAGTAGTTCATGTTCGTTGTGTTGCAGCAGTAAGTCATCCCATCTGATTGTCCACTGCACTGCTCACTTGGCTACTTGTATTTCTGCATAATCATGAATACTGTTGGAGTGACATCTTTGGTCATGGCTTTGAGGCACACTGGTAGCTCTCTGCGCTGGCATATATACCAGGGATGAGACTGCTGGATTAGTGATGGCATCAGTTTTTAAAGTTGATCCTTTTAAAGTTTTTATTTTATTTTGTTGGCTTTTTTGAGACAGGGTTTTGTTCCATAGCCCAAGCTGGCCTTAAACTTGAGATTCTCCTTCCTCAGCTTCCTGAGTGCTAGTATTACAGGTGTGTGCTACTGCATCTGGCTTGGTCTCGGGGTCTCTCTCTCTCTCTCTCTCTCTCTCTCTCTCTCTCATGTTGTAGTTTAATGAGGCTAGAAGAGGCAAGAGTCTAGGCTGGGAGAGCTGTATGTGATTGGGCAATTGGAGCAAGGGTTGGGGGTGAAAGCTAACCTTTCTCAAAGAGGAACTTGGTGCATAAAAGTAAAAGTACCCACTGTGAAGGGTGAGCTGTCCCTGGGGTTGCGAGAGGAGGCTAGGTTAGGTGGCAGCAGCAGAAGAGACCCAAGCCTGAAGTGTCTGGATGTCTCATAGTGGGCCAATGAGTGCAGAGCAGGGAGGAGAGTATGGGCTTACAGGCCTAGGGGTGAAGAGAGCAGAAGAGATGATGAGAAGATTGTGGGAGGGTGAAGACATGGATGAGAAACAGCAGAGATGGTAAAGTTTCTTGACAGATCCAGAAAACTCTTAAAGGAGACCAGGAGAAGAGGATTGAGAGAAGGTGAGTGAGTGTTAATAGATATCTTAGGCTAAGTAGGACTAAAATAAAGGGTGAAGAGTCAGTGCTGAGATCAGAAAGAAGGGGCTTATTTTGGGGAAAAGGCTTAAAATTTGCTGCCTATATACAATGGGCTCTTTCAAGGAGATAGATCCTTTGCAAATGGGCAAGGGGACCAGAGATGGGAGGAGGGCAAGGGAAAGTAAAAAGACCTAAGACACATGTGCACTACCAACTCCATGTGATGAGTGTGATTATTTACAGCAAATACACACTAATAAACACAAATAATAAATGGGCTTCTTTATATAATATACAGAAAGCTAGGAAAGTATTTTTAGGTTGGGGGTGTGTTTATTGGCAGAGCACTTGCCTGCCATGCACGAGGCCCTGGATTTTATTGCAGCAACCTCCCCCCTCCCCTAAGTATTTTCTAGTACACAGTATTTTCTTTATACTTGGACCTAAAAGTTCTGTTTTTGGGCTCTGGTTGTTTCTATTTAGTCTGTGTCCTTGGCAAGTTATTTTAATTTTCTTAGATTACATCTTGCTTATCTAAGAAGATGGGCTTCTGTGGAGGTAGTCAGTCTTCAGGGTCTTTCCCAGTGTTTATCTTATGATTCTTTTGCTAGACTTGTGTGTTAGTTTCTTATTGAACTGGAAGTGGTGGTTTCTCAAAATTATATATGGCGAAAAGAAAGAGACGTGACCAAGAAGAAAACAGAAAACTTCTTTCTTCCTCCCTTTACCTGGAGGTCATTGCAGCTGAGCCCCTTCTGTTCTCTGGCCTCCTTTATGAGAACACTCCTTTCCTGGTGTGGGTGTCCACAGGAACCCAGAAGGTGTTCATTGTAGCAGAGTCAGCCTTTCCTGGAGAGGCAGAGCAGAGGAAAGGTGGTACAGCACCCTGTAGGATCAGGGCCTGGCTGTTGAGGAGTTCTTTTGGGTAGGGTTTAAAAATAAGAGGTTAAGTGTTTTCAAAAAAGAGCATCCATTCTCTGCTGGCCAGGTCATGGGTAGCCTTTGGGGAGCACATAGGCCTCACTCACTGTGTGGGTGTGAGTAGTGGTGCTTCGGTCACAGAGCGACACCCTTGCCACCCCCAGCCTGAGCCATATACTAAGTCTTAGTTCAGAGGCATGAGAGTGTGTATAATTGCAAAGTACTTGTCGCCAGAAAGGGTGGATGTATATGGTAGCTTTTCTCCAAAGCACTTCCACAGGCACCAGATCCGTCAGGTTCTTTTGAGGGGTTTGAAGGTATTTTCAAATCAAGAGAGGGCGATGGGGTGACTTACTTCAGGGAATCCCAGCAAGTAGAGCCAAGCAAGACCACATCCCTTGAGTATACAGGTGTAGTGGCCTGTCTACTGACTATGCATGTAATTTTTCACATGGTGCCTTAATTGGTTTTCCTGATCATTCTGGTTAGTTTCATGTCCTGGGCATCCTGGGTTTGGCCAGGTATGGAGTACCGACAGGTCTTGGTCATTTTGTTTCCTGAGGTTGGTCCTGCTGGGTCCTGCCTGAGCTGGAGACCTCTAGTTCCATGGTTACTCCTTGGATTGTGAGGCTAGAGTCTGCCTGTTTTGTTTTCTTTTTTCTCAGAACTTTTAAGTTTTATTGAAAACGATAAAATACAGAAACATCGGCGCTGGGGATTTAGCTCAGTGGTTTTGCTGCCTGCTGCGAAAGCACAAGGACCTGACTTTGATCCCTGGTACCAAAAACAAAACAAACAAACAAAAAAATACAGAAACATCAAATTCTTAAAGTAAAATTGACAGCATCTCCCAGAACTTTCCTAGCACTGTACCCATTCTTGTCACTATTACAAAAAAGTTCCAAATCCAAAATGATAAATGGACCTGCTGGTAAAGTTTTTTCTCATGGTTCTAAACCCTACCCTATTTTTCTAAATTTTATATTTGTACCTTTCCAAGAATGCGTAGCATTTTTAAAAAAATGATTAATATTTGTGAGAATTGGACTTACTTTCTTCATATTAATGAGAAACAAAAAACTACACATACTGTACTTTAGATAACTTTTTCTCTTTACACATTACTATCCTTGCTGCAAAAACCTGTACAAAATGAAAAGACCAAAAACAAAAGCCTTATGATACCCCACCGCCCCTAAAAAGAACCAACATTGGGACTGTGGAGACGGTTCAGATGAATAAGCATTGCAGGGATGCAGAAGGAAGTGTTTGTGTAAATGTATGCCAGAAGATAGTAGCCCAGAAAGGAGCATTCAACATTTACTTTGCTCCAGAAATAATGATCATGTCAGATAACCCCTGAAACAAGTGGGAGACTTTGGATTGTAATAAACAGACTCCTAATTCTATAGTTATCCACTGTATTGGTCTTGTTTTAGGGCTCTCTTCCTTTTTATAGTGTAGACCTCTGATCCGAAGCCAACAGTTTCCACGGAAGATAGACAATCACTTAGTGGGCTATGGGTCTTTTTTTGGAAAGCTACCATCTCCCTTTCCTCCATGACACTGAGACTAAACCCAAACTCGAGGTAGTTCCTTTATGTTTTTGAGTTGTACTAAAACGTTAGTACAAAAACTTTTTTAAGGCTACAAACTTTGTAAGTTGGTCCCATTAAACAATGACCTTAAGGCAGTGTTTTCAATCTGCCTGGTTTTTTAAATTACAATTTTTCAGCTTGGTTGTAGAACTCAGATGTACTTCCTATCACCCAGTGTTAGTTATTCATTGAGCAAATTCCTTATGTGCACTTGTAAACTTCTGGATTTTCTTGTAGATCAGAAATAGAAGGAACCAGGTCCAAGAAGATGATGGTATTATTTCTTCCTATATCTGATCCTTTCCCCAAATATGTGGTTTAGTGAGGCAGTCACCAGCAAAACTAAAGGGCTTTTGTGGGTGGCCAGAATTTGAGTGGATCTGTCAGAGATTGGGGCCATGCATTAGAGCCCAAATGTGTATCGGAAGGACTAGATAGATGTTGGAGAGTGTGAAGACTGGATTTTGCATGAAATAGAATTCAGGCGTCTTAAGAAAGTTAACAAGTGGGCTGGGGATTTAGCTCAGTGGTTCCCACGCTTAAGCGCAAGGTCCCGAGTTTGATCCCTGGTATCAAAAAAACAAAAACATGAAGCTTTTAACAGGTTAAAAAAAAAAAAAAGTTAACAAGTACACCTGTAAAGCCGCTAGGGCCTTAAAAAGACGTGCTCTTCTCTTCTATTTGTCCCTATCAACACCTTGTTCAAGGTTGCTGCTACCCTGTTTGAACCCCTCTACTTTTTTTTTTTTTTTTTTTGGTACCAGGGATCGAACTCAGGACCTTCTTCTTGCGAAGCAGGCGCTGGAACCACTGAGCTAAATCCCCGGCCCGACCCCTCTGCTTTTGCAAAATGCTTAATTCTCTGAGGATGATACTTAACAGCTCCTTTTCAATTTATTGTGTAGGAAGACTTGTCAGTATTACTCTCCTTACCTTCAAATATGTAAAGCTGTCACCTTTGAAGCCACTCTTATTTTTGGTTTTGTAATGATTTGTAGTAGAAAGAGAATTGGTTGAGGATAAAAAGAACTTCCTGTCCTTGATCTTGAATAGCTCATATTTCAGAATCTCAGTTGTTTTCTTTCTAAAATAGATTTGAATTGGATGATCTGTAAGAGTTTTCTCCACCATTGTCTCAGATTTTAAGATAGGCTTTTGCTCCGTGTATTTTGTAATTCAGCTTGACTTACAAAGCATGTCCCTAATGATGTGTTCCATGGTACCCTGGTGTCATTAGGTTCAGTAGGGCCCAGTGGCAAAAAGCCTGACTAAAAACCTGGTTACCAGTGGTGGTAACTAGGGTTAGGGAATCTAGGCCTGTGGTTTTACCATTCTGGTGGAAGCAAACACTGGTATGTGGGTTTCTAAGGAATAGCTGCATTAAGTAATTTCATTGTCTGGATTTCTTTTGTACCATAGCCTACTCATGAAGGTTACTTCTCTTGTTTGGATATCTGGACACTCTTTTTGGACTATCTGACAAGTAAAATTAAAAGTCGTCTGGGAGACAAGGAAGCAGTTCTCAACAGGTAAACCCCAGAACACTGCACATAAAAGCCGCCGTTTGCGCCAGTTACTCTTGTGCCCTTAAGAGGCAGCCACACAGCTGCACCCCATTGGGAGAACTGAGACATGTAAGCTGTTGAGGCAGTAGTGCCAGTGGGCATTTTCTTCTTTTAAATAACTTACTTTCTTAAGACAGGTTTTTTTCTGATTTAAAAATATGTATTGTTAATTTTCTAGGTATGATAATACTTTTGTGGGGTTTTTTTTTTTTTTTTGGTACCAGGGATCGAACTCAGGTCCTTGTGCTATCGAGGCAGGCGATGGAACCACTGAGCTAAATCCCCGGCTGTGGGGTTGTTTTTTCAAAGGCCCTCGTTTTAGAGATACAGACAAATACTTATGGAATGAAATGATGTGAAATCTGGGTTTTGCTTTAAAATAGCCCCTGAGAGGCGAAGGGAAGTGATTTGATGCATAAAGACACAGGGTTGGCCATGCATTGGCAATTGATGCAGAAGTCAGTTGATGAGAACCCAGGGTTCATTAGGTTCTTACCCTTTTTTGTATGTATTCCAAATTTTCATAAATAAATTAATAAATGCCTATCAGAAATGTTACTCATTTTTAAAACTAGGAAAATATAGAAAAACATAAGTAAGATAAGTTGTCCATAATCCTACACTCCAGAGGCAGTTACTTTTTATTATATTTTTTAGTTGTTGGGAAACATTTGTTTCCCTCCCATGTTTCTTGCTTGCAGGCAGAAAGTACTTTTCTGGTACAATATACAGTAATCTTAGTGCCACTAGGTAGGGGAAAAGGAGGGAAAGTTGGAGGTTCAGCATGCTAGGAAAATAATGCAGGGTCCATATATGGAGAAAGTGACATGACTACATTTCTTGGCAGAAATATGCCCATCATATTCTCAGTATGTGGCTGTATTCTAGTTACATACTGAAGAAGCAGGTTTGAAAGAGGCAAAGAAAAGAAAAGAAACTGGGTGTAATGATTCATAACTTCAGCACTTTGGAAGGCTGAAGATTGGAAGTTTGAGCTTAGCCTGGACAATTTAGTGATTTAGCAAGGCCTTGTCTCAAAAACAAAACAAAACAAAACAAAAGATTCGGGGATGTAGCTCAATGGGAAGGCCCTGGGTTCAATTCCCAGTACCACAACAAAACAAAAAAAAGGATTATAACCTTGACCCCATATTTGTTGTTTATCACTCAAGAAGGCCAGTTTCTAGAGAATAGACAAGTTGTTGGGGCAAAGAAAAAGATTTATTTGGAAAGCTAGCAAACAAAAGAAGGTAGACACTGTTGTCAACAAGGCCATCTTGCTAAGGAGTTGTGGGCGCGAGACTTAACCACTTAACAGTTCGCTCCGAGTGTCACTGGGCAGCGTGTTTGTTTACGTACTGACCATCCCAGGCACTTGGGCAGGTCACATTTCAACCAGCCAATTCTTGTTTGCACAAGATGCACTCAAATGTCTGTTTATATGTTGTGTTTCGAATATTTTTTGCATACTTTTTTATTTGGGACATTGAATTTGCCTTTGATGTTTGTTCTAGTGAAATCTAACAAGTTCTGGTCATTTTCTTTTACTAATTCATGTTTATTTTATTTGTGAAAATAACCTATAATTGGGCCAGGGATTTAGCTCAGTGGTTTTGCCGGCTGGTGCACAAGTGCAAGGACCCAAGTTTGATCCCTAGTACCAAAAAGAAACCAAAAAGCCCCTATAATTTTGTGCTATAATCTATAAAAAAACTCTTATCATAAGTACATTAGATATAATTTTTATACTCCAGGAATCAGTGATATTCTTTTACAATATAAAATGGACACATTTGGGACACAGAAACTGAATAGGAAGGAAGTACCAAAAGATCTACAAGAGAAAAGTTGAAAAAGGGAGAAATGTTAGATATCAGAGAGGAAAAGTCTGTGTTAGGAAATGGAGAGACAAAAAGACGTCTCCTAATTGTCAACTAGTCATAATACAGAAATGATCGAACTTGAATGAAGAAACAAAACTAAAAAAATTCAGTAGTGGTCAGTGATTATAATGATTCTATGGGTGGTGTTGACAGAGTTGACCAACACCTAACAAGCTATCCTGTAATCAAAAAGTGAGGAAAAAATATTATAAAATATTTGTGCACCTTCTGGACTAAGCAATATAGAACTCATTTGTTATTTAAAATAAGAGGGTTCAAATAATCATTCACAATTTAGATTAGGTCTAATAGACCAAATAATTGAAAAATATGGGACAGTGAAATGCCTACCAGGACGGCATCATCGATGTCTTCACCATTACATTTAGTGGGTAGACATTTTATTGAAATTATACCACCCATAGGAAAAAAGGAAAGATTAATATGACATTGTAAAATGTGTTGTTCAAAGAAAGACAGTAGTGCAAAAAATTTGGAGGGCCCGGGATTTAGCTCAATGGTGCTGCGCCTGCCTTGTAAGCGCAAGGTCTGGAGTTCAGTCCCTGGTACCAAAAAAAAAAATTTGGACAGAGATTAGATACTACTGTTCAGGTTGTGATATTGCATTATGTACTGAATGTTTTAAAGATATATCATACATAGAAAAGTTATTGAATAAATTTGATAAAATTGTCTTTTTGGGCAGGTGTGGTGGCTCACACCTGTAATTCCAGCGCTGGGAAGGCTGAGGCAGGAGGATCACTGTGACCATGTCTCAAAAAAAAAGAAAAGAGAAAAGAAAATGTCATCTTTGCTGGATATTGTGGTGCATGTCTGTAATCCCAGCACTTGAGATCACAACACATTACAGGCCAGCCTGGACTACAGTAGCAAGACCCTGATTCAAAAAAACCAAAGCAACAACAACAAAAAATTGTTGTTTGTCTATTTCCTTTATATTATCTTACAAAACTTAATGAAAAAATATGCAATTTTTGGTCGCCTTGTATTTAAATAATTGAAGTGATAAGTGGTGGTTAAATAGCAAGTTGGAGGGAGACATATCAGAGAGGCAGGTTCCAAGGTAATTCCAAATTCCAGGGTAATTACAAATTTTGAGCAGTCTTGCTTTTCTGAGGGATGGCTACTGTTACTTGCAGATCAATGATCAGATCAGGTTTTATAAATCTAAAGAAAAGTTAATGATTAGAAAGTCTTATGATTCATGTCTTTCTAGTTCCTTTGCCCAAGAATAGTTAATTCTGCAGCTAATTATTATTTTGGTTTTTTTTATTCTTAAGTTCTTTTATTGGTACAATTTAGGTATACAATTTATTTACATTTATCATTGGTTGCTTGTACCTGTACATGATGTACCTTGGTTCTTATTTTTTCCCCATTACCTATGTACCCTTCACCCCCTCCACCCTTCCCTGTTTACATAGACTTCATATCCATTTTTTTTTCTTTTCTCATAATTTTTCCTTTCCTTTCTTTCCTTTCCCTTTTCCCTCCCATCACCTCTACCCCTTTGGACTTTTATTCCTGTTTCAAATTATCAATTACTCATTTTAATCATTTTAACCCTTATTTACACTTTCAGTTTCTCATACTAGAGAAACTATTCAGTATTTACACATGTGTGTTCTATTTATTTCACTTAAGAGTATGGCTTCAATATGCATCCATTTAGCTATATAAATGACTCTAGTTTCTCGTTCTTTATGGCTGAGTAGTACTCCATTTTATAAAAGAAAAACACATCTTCTTTATCCAGTTTCCAGTTGATGGGCACTTGGGTTGTTTCCAAGCTTTAGCTACTACAAATTGTGCCTCTATAAACATGGGTGCACATATATCGCTGTGCTATGATTCTTTTAATTCTTTTGGGAAGATACACAGCAGGGGAATAGCTGGGTCAAATGAGACCTCTAGTCCTAGTTCTTTGAGGTATCTTCATATGGATTTCCACAGTGGTTGCACCAGCCTGCACTCCCACCAGCAATGGAGAAGGATTCCTTTCTCCCCACACCCCCGCCAGCATTTGTTATTGGTTGATTTCTTGATAGCAGCCATTCTTTCTGGGGTGAGGTGGAACATCTCAGTGTTGTTTTCATGTTCATCTCTCGAATGACCAGTGATGTTGATCATTTTTTCATGTATTTATTTGCTGCTTTTACTTCTTGTTCTGAGAAATGTCTGTTCATTTCAGATGCCCATTTTTGAATTGGGTCTTTGAGTTGGGGGCGTCTGATTATTTTCAGCTCTTTATATATTCTAGATAGTAGTCCTTTGTCTGAGGTACAGCTGCTAAAATTTTTTTCCCATATTGTAGGTTGCCTGTTAGGTCTGTTGGTGGTTTCTTTTGCATTGCAGAAGCTTTTTAATAAGATGAGATCCCTGTTGTTGATTCTTTGTGCTAGTTCCCATGCTACTGAGGTTTTGTTCATAAAGTCTTCTCCTATGCCAGTGTCTTCAAGAGTTCTACCTAACTTATCTTCCAGGAAGTTTAGTGTTTCTTTTTTAATATTTAGATCTTTTATCTGCTTTGATCTTAGTTTAGTGCATGGTGATAGGTAAGGGTCTAGTTTTAATCTTTGGCAGGTTGAAATCCAGTTTTTCCAACACCATTTATACTACACTTGATCTTAGCCAAAAGGCTGAGAAGCGATCCAACACCATTTATTAAATAGGCTATCTTTCCTCCAGTGATGGTGGTTGGCTCCTTTGTCAAAGATGAGGTGGCTGAGTATGTCTGGAGTTGTTTCTGCATCTTCTAATATATTCCACTGATCCTCAGGTCTGTTTCTTTGCCAGTACCATGCTGTTTTTATCACAGTGGCTTTGCAGTATAGTTTCAAGTTGGGGATTGTGATACCCCCTGCCTCTCTGTTGCCTAGAATTCTGCAGCTAATTATTAAGATACAAAAGACATCTTTTCCCCAGAAAGCAGCAAAAGGTTTCTTTGGCCCTCCTGAGGGTGATAAGAGAAAAGCAACTTTCCCGGAAGAACAGGCAGAGATAACAGTTGCTGGAGGACATTTTTTAACCTGATAGGTTGCTACAGTCAGAAGTGTCACC